CCATGCCCGGCTAATTTTTTTTTAATTTATTGTAGAGATGAGGTCTCGTCAAGTTGCCCAGGCGGGTCTCGAACCCACGGGCTCAGGCAATTCACTCATCTCAGCCTGCCAAGGCGTGGGATTACAGGCTGAGCCACCAAGCCCGGCTGATCTTTTTTTTTTAAACATATTTTTTATTTTAAAATTGTGGGGTACAGTTAAGGGTTAGGTATACAAATATGCATTGTGCAGGTACCCTTGTTGATGAGCTGTGCCCCCGTCCCCAGATATCGACTACTGTTAATTCCACCTTCCTTCCCCTCCCTGCCCCCCCATAGATTCCCGCCACTGTCAATCCTTTTCTTATAGTATTACAATAGTTGTTCAAGGACCACTTATGAGTGAGAACATGTGATACTCAGATCTTTGTTTCTGCGAGAGATCACTCAGTATTATAAATTCCAGTTCCATCCATGTTGCTGCGAAATTCATGATTTTGTTCTTTTTTATGGTTGCGTAATATTCCATTGTGTATATGTACCACCTTGTTTTAATCCAGTCCTCTTTTGATGGACAGCATGGTTGGTTCCATGATCTTGCTATTGTGAACAATGCTGCAATAAACATATGTGTGCAGGTATCTTTTTCATAGAGTGATCTGAGTTCTTCAGGGTATAGTCCCAGTAGGGGGATTGCAGGGTCATATAGAAGGTCGATTTTTAGAGCTTTTAGGAATCGCCACACTGATTTCCACAGAGGCTGCACTAGTTCACACTCCCACCAACAGTGTAGAAGTGTTCCCTTTTCACCACATCCTCTCCATCATCTGTTATTTTTTGAGTTATTGGTAATGGCCATTCTGACTGGAGTTAGGTGGTATCTCAGTGTAGTTTTAATTTGCATCTCCTTGATGATTAGTGAGGTTGAACATTTCTTCATGTATCTGTTGACAGCTCATATGTCTTCTTTTGAGAAGTGTCTGTTCATATCTTTTTCCCACTTTGTGATGGGATTGCTTGTTTTTTTCTTTTCAGCACATTTGAGTTCCTTGTAGATCCAAGATGTTAGGCCTTTGTCAGACATGGAGTTGTCAAATACAAAGACAGCAGGGCTGTCTCCCTGCTCTCTTGATGGTTTCTTTGGCTTTGCATTTCGGGTTTTGTTCAGGAATTGGATGCCAGTTCCAATTTCCATAAGGGTGTGTCCTGCATTTTCTAAGGTTCTTATGGTTTGAGGTTTTACATTTAGGTCTCTGATACATTTACAGTTAATTTTTGTGTATGGGGAAGACAGGGGTCTTGTTTGAGCCTTCTGCATGTGGTCAGCCAGTTTTCCCAGCACCATTTCCTGAATAGGTTCTCCTCTCCCCGGTGGTGGGTGGTGGAAGCTTTGTTGAAGATGAGTTGGTTGAGAAATTGAATGAAACAGAATAGAGAATCCAGAAATAAGTCCAAGTACCTACAACCAACTGATCTTCAACAAAGCAGACAAAATATACACTAGGGAATGACACACCCTATTCAACAAATGATGCTGGGAAAATGGGATAGCTTACGTGCAGAAAAAAAGAAACCTGATCCCTATCTCTCACTATATATAAAAACGAACTCAAGACATATTAAAGACTTAAATGTTAGACCTGAAACCATAAAAATCCTAGAAGAAAATCTAAGAAATATTTTTTCTTTTTTTTTAGTTGGAGTCTCACTCTGTCACCCAGACTGGAGTGCAGGGGCCGCTTCCGGCCACTGTAGCCTCGACCTGCTGGGCTCCGGCGACTCTTCCGGCGATCCTTCCAAGTAGCTGGAACTATAGGCGCATGCTACCACGCCCAGCTAATTTTTGATTTTATTGTAGAGATGAGGTCTCACCAAGTTGCCCAGGCGGGTCTCAAACCCGCGGGCTCAGGCAATCCACTCACCTCAGCCTCCCAAAGTGCTGGGATTACAGGCTGAGCCACTGAGCCCGGCTGAAATATTCTTTCTAAACACTGGCCTAGACAAAGAATTTGCAGATAAGACCCCAAAAGCAAATGTAACAAAAATAAACAAGTGAGACTTAATTAAACTAGAAAGCTTCTGCATAGTAAAAGAAATAATTGACAGAGTAAACAGACACCTACATAATGGGAGAAGATATTCACAAACGATATATCCAATAAAGGACTGATATCCAAAATCTAAAAGAACTCAAACAAATCAGGGAGAAAAAAGCAAATAATCCCTTTTAAAAAATGTGCAAAGGCCAAGGCGAGAGGCTTGCCTGAGCTCAGGGGTTTGAGACCAGCCTGGGCAACTTGGTGAGACCTTGTCTCTATAATAAATCAAGAAAAATTAATCAAGCATGCCCCTGTGGTTCCAGCTACTTGGAAGGCTGGGGTGGAAGGATTGCCTGAGCCCAGCAGGTCGAGGCTGTGGTGGCTGTGAGTGTGCCACTGCACACCAGCCTGGGCCGCAAAGAGTGAGACTCAGACTCAAAAAAAAATGGGGGCAAACAACATGAATAGACATCTCTCAAAAGAATACATACAGATGGCCAACAAACATGAAAAATGTTCAGCATCACTAATCATCAGGGAAATACAAATACAAATTAAAACCACAATGAGATATACTGCCTTATAACAGTCAGAATGGCCATTATTAAAAAATCAAGAAACAACGGATGTTGGCATGGATACAGTGAAAAGGGAATGCTTATACATTGTTGGTGGGATATAAATTAGTACAGCCTCTATGGAAATCAGTATAGCGATTTCTCAAAGAACTAAAAGTAGATCTACCATTTGATCCAGCAATCCCACTACTTGGTACCTACCCAAGGAAAAGAGGGCATTATCCAAAAAAAAAAAAAAAACCAGAATGGTGGCTCACACCTATAATCCCAATACTTTGAGAGGTGGAGGCAAAAGGATTGCCTGAGTCCAGAGGCTCAAGACCAGTTTGGGCAACTTGGCAAGACCTCGTCTCTACAATGAATCAAAAAATTAGCCAGGCGTGGTGGTGCACGTCTGTGGTTCCAGCTACTTGGAAGACTGAGGCAGAAGGATTGCCTGAGCCCAGCAGGTCAAGGCTGCAGTGGCCGTGACCATGCCATACTGGACTCCAGCCTGGGTGACAGAGTGAGACTCGAACTCAAAAACAAACAAACAACCCCACAAAAACCAGTACTCATATGTTTATCACAGTATAATTCACAATTGCAAAGATATGGAATCAACCTGAATGTCCAACAACCTGTCAGTGGATAATGAAAATGTAATATATATACACACACTATGGAATACTATTCAGCCATAAAAAAGAATGAAATAATGTCTTTTGCAGCAACTTGGATGGAACTGGAGACCATCACCCTAAGTGAAGTAACACAGGAACAGAAAACCAAATCCTGCTTATTCTTATGTATAAGTGGAATGTAAGCATAGGAACTGCAAAGGCATATAGAATGGTATAATGGACATTGGAGACTTAGAAGAAGGGTGGGAAGGGGGAAGAGATGAAAAATCACCTGTTGGGGTATAATGCACACAGGTTGGGGGGGTGGGTACACTTAAAACTGAGACTTCTAGCCAGGTATGGTGGTGCATGCCTGTAGTTCTGGCTACTTGGAAGGCTGAGGCGAAGGATTGCCTGAGTCCGGCAGGTCAAGGCTATGGTGGCCGTGAGTGTGCCATTGCACTCCAGCCTGGGCAACAGAGTGAGACTCTGACTCAAAAACAAAAACAAAAGCAAACACTTCTTCGCCACTATACAATGCACTCATGTAACCAAAAACCATTTGTACCCCCTAAAGCTATTTTTTTAAAAAAGAGTATAGACTTTTGAAAATCCCTGCTCTTCTACTTACTGTGTAATTTAAACATGTTACTTCTTGACTGTGAGGCACAATTTCTTCTTCTGTGAAATGGGTCTAATACTATCTTTCTCATAGGATACTGATGAGAACCAATGAGAAAAGTATATAAAGCACTCAGCACAGTGGAACATATTAAATGTTCAACATACAGAAGTTATTTTTATTATTAAAGTGGGCTCAGTAAAACTCAATGTTACTCTCCCATATATCTCCTTACCTATATTTTGCCTCAATTTGTACCAATTTAGAGAAACTTGGTCTGGATAGAGAAACAGTTGTTACATTTCTCTTAAAATCTTTACTGAGTCAACAAATATATCACCATCTTTGGATTCACTCTATGAATCAGGAAGGTTTTTTCACTTGATCTTTTTTATATGAATAGTTTTTTGTTTGTTTACTTTTTTTGTTTTTTTAAGTTAGAATCTCACTCTGTCACCCAGGCTGGAGTACAGTGGCACACTCTTGGCCACTGCAGCCTCAACCTGCTGGCCTCAGGTGATCCATCCGCCTCGGCCTTCCAAGTAGCTGGTGCCACAGGCATGCACTACCATGCCCAGCTAATTTTTTTATTTATTGTAGAGATGAGACCTTGCCATGTTGCCCAGGCTGGTCTCGAACCTGTGGACTTGGGCAATCCTCTTGGCTCCACCTCCCAAAGTGCTGGGATTACAGGCATGAGCCACCATGCCCAGCTGATAAGAATAGTTTTATAAAGGATATATTTTTACTCTGTTTTCACTATTAAATTTCAGTTAATTAGAAGGCTAGAGCAGTGAAACAAGTATCTTTCACATAGCAAAGTCTTTGAACTACCTCCCAGCCTTACTAGCAATTTTATTAAAGTATCAAAATCAGAGAACTCACCTCTAAGAAGGACCCCATCCTCAGAGTGAATATGGGATTCAGATAGCACTCTGTTTCCTTAACCTTAAAAATTAGTGACTATTAAAGAAATCCACATTCAGTAGTTAATCTCTCAAAATTCAAAGTTATAGTTAAAAGAAGCCTATTGACAGTGCCTAAAATATCTCAATGTATCATAATTATAAATTTACAAGTTATATATAGAATTATTTCATCATTTACAGGTAACATCTGCTATTCATTTTAAAAGCAAAGTCACTAAAAGTTCAAATCCAACACAAAGAGAGATTGCTCACCTCTGGAGATTTCTGTATATTCTGAAATACAGCATAGGTAATAAGTGAAGTTGAACCTATAACACTGAAAAATTTAGATTATCATTAAAGTGAGACAAGGTGCCTTCATTTTTGCTATTAACTGAGTTTTTTTTTTTAAGTTTTACTGACATAATTGATACAAAATAAAATGCACTTTTTACATTTTTTTTTCTTTTGTAGAGACAGTCTTGCTCTGTTGCCCAGGCTGGAATGCAGTGGCGTGATCATAGCTCATTGTAATTCCTGGGCTCAAGGGAGTCTCCTGCTTCAGCCTTCTGAGAAGCTAGGACTACAAGTGTGAGCGACCATTCCCAGCTAATTATTTCCCTTTTTTTTTTTTTTTTTTTTTTAACAGAGACAGGGTCTTACTAGGCTGCCCAGGCTGGTCTCAAACTCCTGGTTTCAAGCAATCCTTCTGCTTTGGCCTCCCAAAGTGCTGAGATTACAGGCATAAACCAGCATGCTCAGCCCTGCACATATTTTTTTAAACAGAACACTTCACAAATTTGTATGTCATTCTTGTTCAGGGGACATATCAGTCTTCTCTGTGTCATTCCAATTTGTAACATATGTGCTGCTGAAGTGAGCACTTTGCTATTGATTTTACAAACAATTCTGTTGACCAAGTTGTCCATTTATTTTTCAGATGTTATTCCTCAATCTATTTTGTTGTTGCTATTGTTGTTGATGTGGTTACATTTTATTAGTCAGAAAACATCAACATGATAAAGAATATCATTTCTAACTAAAGAGTAAAAGCGAATCCCCAGGGGGAAAATGTTAGTGACTGAAGAATTCTCCAGTTTTGCTTATTTTTTATTTATTTTTTAGCTGGAGTCTCACTCTGTCACCCAGACTGGAGTGCAGTGGCCGCTCCCAGCCACCGCAACCTCGACCTGCTGGGCTCCAGCGATCCTTCCGCCTCAGCCTTCCAAGTAGCTGGAACTACAGGCGCGCGCTACCATGCCCGGCTAATTTTTTTTTTTTGGATTTATTGTAGAGATGAGGTCTCACCAAGTTGCCCAGGAGGGTCTCGAACCTGCGGGCTCAGGCAATCCACTCACCTCAGCCTCCCAAAGCGCAGGATTACAGGCTGAGCCACCGAGCCCGGCCGAGTTTTGCTTATACTAGTATAATCAGTCGTATGCGATTAAATAAACATACCTCAGAGTAGCCATGACAAATTGTATCCATTGTATTGCAGAAAAAACCTAAGTAAAACAAGGAAGGGAGAATACAGTTAAACCTTCTACATTTAATATTCAACCTAATCCTAATTTCACAGTTTTTGGTTTTTTGTTTTTATTGAGTTGGAGTCTCACTCTGTAGCCCAGACTGGAGTGCAGTGGCATACTCCCGGTCACCGCAGTCTCGACCTGCTGGGCTCGGGCGATCCTTCCACCTCAGCTTTCCAAGTAGCCATAACTACAGGTGTGTGCTACCATATCTGGCTAATTTTTTATTTACTGCAGAGATGAGGTCTCGCCAAGTTGCCCGTGTGGGTCTCGAACCCGTGGGCTCAGGCAATCCACTCACCTCGGCCTCCCAAAGTGCTGGGATTACAGGCTGAGCCAGCGAGCCCGGCCCTAATTTCACAGTTTATTAACTCTTTATGCACTACAATTCTTCTTCAAAGCATAATCAAAACAATACAAATCTGGGAATGAGTGGAAAGGCTGAATAGGCTTCTGGAAAGACGGGTGATTCCTTTTTTCCTCTCTTATTTCTTCTTCTCTGGGAAACAGTAGGCAGACAGAAAATGATTAAATGAAAAAAGAAGGTTGAGTGAAAAAACAAATAAAAGGAAGAATAAAATGGAGAAGAGGTAGGTAAAGTTAAATTTTGAGAGAGGAAAAAAAGATGTGTGGACAAAATGGGTAACAGGAAAGGCAAACAAATACTAGTTCACTGACAGGTAGAAAGAGAAAAACAATAGTAAAACATAAAGAAACAGAAGAAAATTAGCAGTATTATGAGTGAAAAATGCAGAAGAGGGAAGATGAAAAGGAGAACAAAAAAGAAGTGAGGGACAGCTTCTGACCTTACCAAGTCCCAACTGTCCTCCAGAATGCTAGCCTCCAGTGGGAGGGCCATAGGGACTTCAGTCCCGGCTACCCTTGAGCAGCCGATTCTTCTCAGTCAAATTCTAAATCCCAAAGCAGTGAACAGGTAGCTCCACCCCTAGTCCAGCAGGGCTCCTCCCTACTTAATCCTGCTACGTACCTTAAGGGCAAGGAGAGAGGTGGAGACTAGTGGAAGAGAAAGCCAAGCAGAAAGAGCCTAAATAGAAAGAGCAGGAAACAAGGAAACAAATTTGTAAGCAGTATTTGGAATTATAAGAAGGAGCAAGAGGCAGGAGTAATAAAAAGAAGCAGAGAGAATGAGTCATAGTGAAAAGATAAGTAGAGCTGTAATGGTGAAATGAAACCACAAAAAGAAAGAAAAGGAATAAAAGGGAGGTCTACTTAAAACTAGCTCTTGTTTAGACACAGAAGCCTGAGATGGGAAAGAGAAATTGCATATTCACTCAATCAATAAAGTTTTAGTCATACTAGTGAAAAGCTGAGAAGAGATTATTAATATTTACCATAAATTACACTATTCATTAATATACTGATGTTTAAAATCAACATTGTAGGCCAGGCGGGGTGGCTCAAACCTGTAATTCCAGCACTTTGAGAGGCTGAGGCAAGAAGATTGCCTAGTTCAGGGGTTTGAGACCAGCCTGGGCAACTTGGTGAGACCTTGTCTCTACAATATATCAAAAAATAAGCTGGGTATGGTAGCACACACCTGTAGTTCCAGCTACTTGGAAGGCTGAGGCAGAAGGATCACCAGAACCCAGCAGGTGGAGGCTGTGGTGGCCGTGAGCATGCCACTGCACTTCAGCCTGGATGACAGAGTGAGACTCCAATTTTAAAAAAATAAAAATTTAAAAAATAAAATAAAATCAATATTGTGCAAAGCAGTGTGTTATTAAAAATATAAAGATAAGCCAGGCTCGGTGGCTCAGCCTGTAATCCTGCACTTTGGGAAGCTGAGGTGAGTGGATTGCCTGAGCCCGCGGGTTCGAGACCCGCCTGGGCAACTTGGCGAGACCTCATCTCTACAATAAATCAACAATCAGCCGGGTGTGGTAGCGCATGCCTGTAATTCTGGCTACTTAGAAGGCTGAGGCGGAAGGATCGCCGGAGCCCAGCAGGTCGAGGCTGCGGTGGCCGGGAGTGGCCACTGCACTTGTCTGGGCGACAGAATGAGACTCCAACTCAAAAAAAATAAATAAATAAAAATTAAAAAATATATATATAAAGATAAATAAGACATAGACTCAGTAGGAAAATGGCTTGAATACTAAAAACTCAAATGATCTGCACACAGCAAGAATGTAACTATACAGAGTAGCATTCAAACAGGATTTGGAAGAACTGGCAAATTTGAACAGAAACTGGAGGAAAGAGAAAGCAGGAGGAAGAACATTAATTTATGTAACCACTTATCTTTAATTTGGCCATACTTTGATATATTCTACAAATATTTATTGATAACACAAATCACTTACATGGCTGGAATAATTTAAATATGTAACTCCTTTATTCATATCAGGTTAAAATTATAGTCTGGAAAAACAAATAGCTAGGTGCAGTGGCATGTGTCTATAGTCCCAGCTACTTTGGAGGCTGAGGTGGGGAGATTCCTTGAGGTCAGGAGTTTGAGGCACAGTGTGCCATGATCATGCCTGTGAATAGCCACTATACTTCAGTCTTGGCAAAATAGTGAGACCCCCATCTCCAAAACAAATTAAACAGAAAACAAGCCAAACAAACAGGATTATGGCCCAGAGTGGAAGACCAGACATTGTTAAGTGCAGATAGGTTCTAATCACATTTTACTTAAATTATCAGATAAATAAATAAACATACCAAGAAATTTCCAGATCAGAAATCCTCGGTATAAGGTCTTGGGGAGTGTTTTGAGGCCTGTACTCATATGTCTATCTAATAAAAGAGAAGAGAATAATGATAGTCTCACCATGTGATATGAAAATGGTTTTAGACAAAGGACTTTTGTCTCAGTCAAGAACAAATCTCAGGTTGTTCAGGGAACAGCTATGCCAAATCTGTCTGCTACTCTTGAAAGCTTATCAATTGGGGAACTTTTCTCTTTGGCATTCCTTCTAAAACATCTATGCCATCAACCAACATTTGGGGATTGATTTTTCAGTTTTTTCTCTCTAAATTAATCCCCTACCTTCTGCATATTAAATACTTTTCCCCTTTGAAGTATCTTTGGAAATATAATCTTGCCAATTTCTTTTATATAAGGGCTAACCCAAGCTCAAATGATGAAGTAGGTGATATTTCAGTTTTCCCTCTTCCTCTTTTTAGTAAAAGACTCCTTAGCATGTTCAAACACATCCCAGTTTTTACTTAATGGGTTATTATGTATTTCATATCAATTGAAGCTAACAGATATTAATTCAACTTCTACCATGAGCAAGTTACTCAAAGTCAAGAAAGACATTTACACTTGTACGATACTTTTTTTTTTTTTTTTTTTTTTTGAGTCGGAGTCTCACTCTGTCGCCCAGACTGGAGGGCAGCGGCCGCTCCCGGGCAC